GCTGTTAGGTGCTGCTGCATTGATTGCACTCACAGCCACTGTTTGCAGCAGGCTGAGCACCCAGTCCTGCGCCTTCCTCACAAGCCCTGCTGAGGGGGGGGGGGCATTGTTGCTGCCACTGCATCAATCCATCCCACCGCCAAACCACCCCACCGCCAATCCATCCCACCCTCAGCCTCTTTTCCCTGACAGGGCACTTTCCCAAGCACACCGCCCTTCCCCAGGAACTCCTGACATGTCCAAAGTCCAAAGTCTCACCTCTTCACTTGCAAGGCGGAATTCTGGCTGTGTTCCTTGCAAACCATAGTTTACGTACTAGCCTTCAACACCACCACGGCTGAAAGGCATCAGTTCTGTTTCAGTCGGCTTTACTGATTATCCAACTCCTGCCTGCCTATGCAGCCATGGAGAACCACAGCTTGTGTGAAGCACACCTTCGTCCTCAATGCGACATCTGGGACACTTGTAAGAGTATCCTGTAACCACTTTGCCCAGTGCAATACGTGCCTGGATTTCTCTTTTTTTTTTTGTGAGAAAAATTTATTACATTTAGAATTAGCCCGCTGGACTCAGTTTCGATGATTCCAATTTTGTTGGCAACATCCAAAGCATCATAATCAGGAGCAAGTCGAACATAGGCCTTCTTCTCTCCATCAGGCCTAATCAAAGTGTTGACCTTGGCTGCATCAATGTCATAGAACTTTACAGCTTGTTTAATTTGGTGCTTGTTGGCCTTGACATCCACAATGAATACAAGTGTGTTGTTATCTTCTATCTTCTTCATAGCTGACTCAGTGGTCAGGGGAAATTTGATGATGGCCTAGTGGTCATGCTTGTTTCTCCTGGGGGTGCTCTTCTGGGGGTGTTTGGGCTGCCGTCGGAGTCTCAGCATCTTAGGCCGCCGGAAGGTGGGTGATGTGCGTGTGCAGATCTTATTTTTTTTTTTTTTTGGGCTGTGGACGCCCTTCAGGAAGCCTTCTTGGCCTTTAATGCCCTTGCTTTGGCTTCAGTTTTGGGAGGGGCAGGGGCTTCCTTCTTGGCTTTCGGCACCATCTTCGTAGAAAGGCGTGCCTGGATTTCTTGAGTGCTGTGTCACAGAAGCTGATGGTGAATTTTATGTGGATAAAATGACATCATCAGCATCTGTCCTCCATTTGTCATGGTGTTGCTTTCTGGTCCAGTTGTGAGGATTTTTGGGGTTTTGTGTTGAAATGTAATCAATACTGATGGCTGGGGAAAAAATACTGATGGCTGCCGTCTTTGATCTTAGTACGTCCTCTGAGTCTTTATGTTTCCAGCAAGCAGGGTTGTGTTATCGGAATATGTAAATTGTTGAGGAGTCTTCCTCCAGTGTTGATACTATGCTCTTCCTCGTATAGGCGGCCTCTCCGAGTATTTGCTCAGCGTACAAACGAAGTTAGTATGGTGGAAGTTTAACTTTAAACTACGCATCATCCCCTGTTCTCGTGAGTTCTTCCTGATCTAAGCACAGCTCTTGCGTAAGCACAGTTAAGTGTTCTGGAATTTCAATTCTTCACAATGGTACACATAACCTATTTTGAAACCACAGGTAAATGTCTTTGTATAGTCAATAAAACACAAGCAAGTATCTTTCTGGTATTCTCTACTTTCAGCCAAGGTCCATCTGCCAACAACAATAATATCCTTTGTTCCAGGACCCCCACTGAATTCACACTGAATTGCTGTCAGGTCCTTCTGAAGGTACTGCTGCAACTGTTTTTAACTTACCTTCAGCAGAACTATTTGTGTGTGATAGGAATGATAGTATTTGATATTTTTCACATTCTGTTAGATCACCTTTCTTTGAAACGGGCACAAATACAAAGCTCCTCCAGTCATTTGGCCAGAGAGCTGCCTTCCAAAGATCTTGGAAAACAGATGCATGAGGGAGCTCTGGTGGTCTAGTGGCAAGAAGCTGCATTGCAATGCCAAAGGCACGTGGTTCGTGGTTCAAATCCTCCAGATGCTCCACTGGAGAAGGAGGGACAATCTCCTCCTGTACCAGTCAGATCCAACTCAACAGTACACACACACACCGAGTGAGCGCGTCCAGGGCTGTAATATTTTGTTAAAATACTTCATCGGTATTCCACCGGCTGCTGGCACATTTTTTCCCCAGTTTCTTCCACACAGCTTGACTTCCTCCCTCAGCACCTTGGGTTTGATTGTGTGAAGTGTCTGAGCACTGACTGGTTATCTTTGGTACAGGGACTCTATATATTTCTCTCCTTCTGATGCTTCTGTGTCGTTCGATATTTTGCCTGTTGTGGCTGTTACCTGCCTTCAAGTCAGAACTGACTCCTAGAGGACCCTCCAGTGGGTTTTCAAAGGCTGCAAACTGCCCAGGAGGAGAGGGTAAATCTTTGTACCAAGGAGCTGCTGGTGGATTTGAACTGCCTGCCTTTGGGTCGGCAGTGTAACTCCTTTTGCGTGTAGGATCCTTGAATATTGCAACTTGAGGCTTGCATTTTCATTTCGGTCCTCTCTGCTGGAGAACTAACTGTAGAGTATGTTCCCCGCTTTGGTTTTCTAGGCCCAACTCTGTACCTCATCTTCTCAAACCACCCTTTGGGGTCTCCTGTTGGGCTCTCTTAGCCATCATTTCTCCCTTTCGCTTTAGTTGTCTACGTACAAGGGGAAGTTTCAGCGTCGTCTCTAACATGCCTTTTTTTTGTTTTCTTCTTCATGTACGATGCCTGCGGTGTCTTCCGACAACTCGTCTGGTCTGTGGTCTTCAATCATTAACAACCAACGAGAACTCATTCTTGAAATGATCTCTGAATTTCATTGGGGGACACGTAGGGTCGTACTTTGAATAATGTGGGCTTGTTTTCAGTGTGTTCAGCTTCAACTTGTATCTGAGCAACTGGCAGCGCAATTCAAAATGACAAGAAAAAATGTGGTTGCTATGAGTCATAGACGACTTGATGCCTCACAACAACAACAACCACCACCCTCGTGAATAACCAGAACATGGAATGTACGAAACAGGAATCTGTCAGTCATCAAAGCCCAAACAGAGCACAAGGGACTCTGGTGGTGTCACTGCCATTGGTGCTCTGCTAATAAGGACGGAAGTGGCCCGTGAAGGCCCGGCCCCTCCGGCACTGTTGTCACTGTGTGCCCTCTGGTCGCCCCTGGCTCACAGGAGCCCACCACAAGGAAGGCCCGCCGCCCTGCGCCATCTTCACAAGCTCTGCGGGGCTTGGCCACTGATGCAGCCTCTGTGACCGCCACCTCGTGTCAAAGCTGGACGGTGGAGAAGCGAGCCCAATGGAGGGCCGAGAGCTATGGACCGTGGTTCGGGGAGGAGTACTGAGTGTCCACGGACGGCCAGAAGAATGAACAAATAAATGTCTTAGCGCCAGGATGCTCCCTGGAAGGACGGAGGCCTCGACCCTCACACGGTGGCCACACTCTCCGGAGGGTCAGTTCCTGCAGAAGGGAAAGTCCAGGATCAGGGAGAGAGACCCGCCAGGAGCAGGGCTGCTGTGTGGAGATGGTACCTGGGGATCGAGTGTGGGTGTGAGTGTGAGAGTGTGTGTACGTGTGTGTGCGCGAGCGAGAGTGTGTATATGTGAGTGTGTGTACGTGAGTGCACGTGTGTGTAAGTGTTTGCACGTGTGTATGTGTGTGCGTGCACGAGTGTATATGTGAGTGTTGAGAGTGTGTACGTGTGAGTGCACGTGTGTGAGTGTGTATGTGTTTGCACGTGTGTGAGAGTGTGTACGTGAGTGTGTATACGTGTGTGCATGCGCGTGCACGTGTGTGAGTGTGTATGTGTTTGCACGTGTGTGAGAGTGTGTACGTGAGTGTGTATACGTGTGTGCATGCGCGTGCACGTGTGTGAGTGTGTACGTGTTTGCATTTGCACGTGTGAACGTGTGCACCTGAGTGTGTGCGTGTGTGCGTGTGTGCAAGTGTGAGAGTGTGTGCGTGTGTGCGTGTGTGCAAGTGTGAGAGTGTGTGCATGTACGTGAGTGTGTGAGAGTGAGTGTGTGTGTTTTCTTCCACTGGGGTTCCTCCCTGTGCGCTAAAATCCACGCTGCCCAATCACAGAGCAACAGTGACTCCAGGATCCACTTTCGGGGAGTTGTCACACCGTTTTGCTCACACTGCCCGCTTTCCATTCCCACCAGCAGTGGCTCGGGTCCAACCCTCTGAACCGGGTGATTCCACGCCAGGCCCCACAGACCTTCCTCCTCCTCCTCTATAACCTGGGATCTCGCTCCTCTCCTGCTCCTGAGCCCTCCCTGTTTATCGCATAATGGGGGAGGGGAGGAGAGGAGAGACCGACACCCCTCTTCTGGAGTTGCTGGCCAAGTGTGGGAGCCAGACAGGACACCAGCTGAGAAAGGACAAGATGACATAAGACAGATGGAGAAGGTGCCAAGTGCTGGGGAGATAAACAAAGCCAGTGGGAAGGTGGGGTGGGGATGGGGGGAGGTGACATCTGAGCACAGGCCTGAAGAAGGAGGGGGAGGGAGACTGTGGGAACAGGGCAAAGGGAAGAACCAGTGCAAAGGCCCTGGGGCAGGCCCTGGGGAAACAGGGAGGTGGCCTTGGGACTGGAAGAAAGGAGGTGGGGGAGGGAGAAGGCAGAGAGGAGCCCCACAGGCCTTGCAAACCGAACCGCGGGAACAGGGACCCTCCCTTCATCCAAAAAAGTGGGAGCCCCAAGGGCTGAGGAGCCCAGGCCATCAGCCCCTCAGAGATAGGACTCCTAGGGTGTGCGCGCGGCTGGTACAGAGGGCGCGTCCTCCTGCGCCTTGTTATTCCGGGTCCCCCGGGAGGGCGCAGCTGGCCCTGGCAGGGCCCGGACACCTGGGGCCCGCACTCCCTCCGCCGCCCACGGTGTCACCTTCCCGGGCGGCTCGGGTTCCCGGATCCCCTTACCCGGGCGGCTCGGCTGTCGAGCACAGAGCCGGGGGAGGGGAGGTTGCAGGAAGCGGCGGATCCGGCGGCGGCGGCGCGGGTGGCCGAGCTCCTCGGGCCATGGAGAGCGCCCGGGAGGCCCGCGAGGCCGGGAGCAGCCGGGGGGCTGAGGCCACGCGGCCGGGCGCGCCCCCGCCCTCGCCCTCTGAGCCTCCCGCCGCGCCCCGCGTGCGCCCGCGCCTCGTCTTCCGCACGCAGCTGGCGCACGGCAGCCCCACGGGCCAGATCGAGGGCTTCAGCAACGTCCGCGAGCTCTACGCCAAGATCGCAGAGGCCTTCGGCATCGCGCCCACCGAGGTGAGGCCCCGACGCCCCCGACCCCAGGTGGCGGACCCGCTGCGCTCGGATCCAGGGTGCCCACATCTGGGGCCCCTCGCTCTTCCAGGCTGCCCTTAGCAGAGAGGATCCCAGCACCACCAGGAATCCACTCGGGGGGCAGCAGGAGGACCCCTGCCCTGCCAGCTCCCCGCTCCCCGGGAAGCACCCCTGTGTTTTCTGGGGTTCCAGAAGGTGCGATCCCAGAGCTTGACCCTCTGGTCCATGGAGAGCTCTTGTTCAGCGCGGCCCTGCGCCTCGCAGCCCCCAGGGGGCGCCCAGACGCCCAACCAGGCCGAGGAAGCTGGTCAGCAGGCTGAAGACCACCGAAGGGTCAAACAAGAGGCTCTGGGGGCGGGGACGGGAGAGGGAGGAGTCAGGAGCGCCCCTCTTCTTCCGATACCTCACTCCATTCTGAGTGATCCCATTAGCTCTCCCACGGGTGGGGGTCCTGCTAGAAGTCCCTGTGTGCTACTAATGTCCCACTACTAATCAGAAGATTGGGGGTTCCAACTCACCCAGAGGCGCGTCGGAAGAAAGGCCTGGCAACCTGAAAGGTCCGAGCCTTGAAAACCCGAGGCAGTTCCCCTGCGCAGGCCTGGGGTCGCTGAGAGTGGAGTGAGACAGTGAGACGGGTTGGCGCCTCTTTGTTGTTGTTGGTTGGTTGTGGGTAATTGAGATCTCAGCGCCTCAGTTTCCCTCTCAGGCCGCTAAGCCTATCATCAGAGTCGTCCTGGGCAGACACGGGGGGGGGGGAATGAGCGCGGTCACTGACTCTGTCCCCCTCCTTGGGGACAGATCCTGTTCTGTACTCTCAACAGCCACAAGGTGGACATGCAGAAGCTGCTGGGTGGTCAGATCGGCCTGGAGGACTTCATCTTCGCCCACGTGCGGGGTGAGACCAAGGAGGTGGAGGTCACCAAGACCGAGGACGCGCTGGGGCTGACCATCACGGACAACGGGGCCGGCTACGCCTTCATCAAGGTGGGCAGGGCTCTCCGGCCGGGTGCCCTGGGTGAGCCAGCACCCTTCTCTAGGTCTGAGGGGCCCGGAGATTTGGGGACCTCTGCGGGGGCTGGGTCACCCCGTGAGTGACTATGGGTCCCCACAGCGAATCAAGGAGGGCAGCATCATCAACCGCATCGAGGCCGTGTGTGTGGGAGACAGCATCGAGGCCATCAATGACCACTCCATCGTGGGCTGTCGCCACTACGAGGTGGCCAAGATGCTGCGGGAGCTGCCCAAGTCCCAGCCCTTCACACTCCGCCTGGTGCAGCCCCGGAGGGCCTTCGGTGAGGGGGCGCGGCCCTAAGCGGGGTGTGGCCCACAGCAGCGACCTGTGGATGGATGCCTGGGGCAGGGCTCAGAGCCGGGAGGGGACTGAGTGTGGGGGAGGGGGGGACACAGGGTGCAGAGCAGGGAGGGGACTGGATGCAGAGAGGAGAGGAGACAGGGTGCAGAGGGGGAGGGGATGGGGCGCAGAGCGGGCAGGGGATGGGGCACAGAGCAGAGAGAGGACAGGGCACTCGGGGCACAGGGAGCAGAGCAGGAAGGGCATGAGCACAGAGTGGGGAGGGGACAGGGCACCGGGTAGGGACAGGGTGCAGATGGGGAGGGGACAGGGCACAGAGCAGGAGGGGATGGGGTGGAGCGGGGAGAGGACAGGACACAGAGCAAGGAGGACAGGGGCAGAGAGTCCTCCATGCCTCAGCCGATGTGGTGGGACCTTCTGCCAGCACGGCAGCTCCAGGTCGGTTGATTCTAGATTGTTCTAAGAGTCCGAAGCTCGAGAGAGCTGTGGGCAGGACGGGACAGAGTGAGACACTGTCTGGATGCCCAACTTAAGAGGTTCTGGGACCTTCCAGAGTCATGGTGAGAGGATGTCTAGAGGGTCGTTTTGAAAGAGTTCTAGAACGGTGTTTTCCAGAGAAGCCTGTGCTTCCGGGGCTGCAGTAGCACGAATCCAAGTGGACGGCTGTAACAAACAGGAGTGTGTATTCTCACCGTGCAGGAGGTGGTGGTGGTGGTGGTGGTGGTGGTGGTGGTGGTCAGGCACCCCTGAACCCGCTGGGACTCACAGCCACCCTGGAACAGCCTGCGAGTCGTCTCTGCTGTCAGGGGTCGCTGTCATTGCCTCCCCGGAGGGCCCTGGCTCCCTGTCCTCCGAGCGGCTTAGCTGTCCTTGTGCCAGTCGGGGGCTCTTCGGTGTGGACCGCTGGCTCTAGGAGGCTTGCTTTCTGTATTGGCTCTGGGGGGAGGTCCTTGTCCTCCCAGCTTGGCCTGGTTCCTTGGGGCTCCCCACGGGGCATGGCGTCAGTTTCTCCATTCCTCCTCTGCGTGTGTGCTTGGTGTTGTTAGGTGCCATCAAGCTGACTAGGGCTCAGAGCAGCCCTGTGGACAGTGGAGAGCGGCCCCTCGCCCTGTCCTGTGCCATGCCGCTTGTTTAGTCAGATGTGTCTCGGAGAAAGTGCAGCCTGTGTGCTCCTTGGAGGCAAGAATAACAAAGCCCCACATACTTTGGGGCATGTTGTTAGAGGGGCTCTTCCTTGGAAAGGGACATCATGCTTGGAAAGGTGGAGGGTCCGTGGAAGATAGAAAGACCCTCAGCGAGATGGACTGACAGAGACGGCAGCAGTGGGCTCGAGTGTGTCAGTGATCTGGATGGCACAGGAGAGGACAGCGTCCAGAACAGCTGTTCACAGGGTCGCTGTGGGTCGGACTGGACTCAGCGGCCCCAAGCACAAGAAAGGGTTTCCAGGACTGTAAATCCCTATGGAAGCCAAGCTGCAGGTCTTTCTCCCAAGGGGTGACTGAATGGTGGGTTCAAAGTATCAAACTTTCACTAGCAGTTTAACTCAGTGCACCACCAGGGCTACTTATTATAACCACAGGCAAACCCCTGCCATCACGCCGTTTCTGACTCCTAAGAACTTGCTATGCATCAGAGGGTTGGACAATGACTAGGGAGGACAGAAGGAGAATTGATGCCTTTGAGCTGTGGTGCTGGAGAAGAGTATTGAGAATACTATGGACTGCTAGGAAAACAAACAGATTTGTCCTGGAAAGGGTTAAACCGGGTGGCTCCTTGGAGGCGAGGATTCTGAGGCTCCGTCTAACATACTTTTGACATGTTGTGAGGAGAGACCGGTCCTTGGAGAAGGACATCATCCTTGGGAGGGTGGAGGGACAGCACAGGAGGGGAAGACCCTCTATGAGGTGGATTGATTCAGTGACTGGGATAATCGGGATGGGAGTGTCAGAGACAGTGCGATTGGCACAGGACAGAGCGAAGTTTAGGGCTGTTGTACATAGGGTCGCTATGAGTTGCAAACGACTCGACGGCACACAACAACAACAACAACAACAAGAATCTGATGGGACTGGGTGGAACCGCCCTGTGCTGTTCCCAGGCTGAGACGCTGGCGAAAGCTTCCGGTCATCTGTCTGCCCCAGGTGGTTGGAGGATTCAAACACGAGCCCTTTGTCTAATAGTTTAAGGGGTGAAGATGAGATCTACAAGGCTAGGAGCTTGCCCCGGGAGAGCGTTTCTCCACATCAGCCCCGGTGACGGCTGCCCTGTGCACTGTCCAGGCTTGAGCGGCACCGCTGGCCCTTCCCCTGCCAGAGGCCACCAGCATCTCCCCGGAGAGACAAGCAGAAATGTCCACGCCTGCTTCTCACGCCCTGGGGGACAAACTCGCCCCTTCCACCCCCTTAAAAATCTCTGTTCGGTAATGTGTATCTTTTTTTAATAGCTGGCTGATTAACAACAACAACAACATGAGAGACTTTGTCAGTGAAAGAATGTGTTAATTCACATTCTGGCAAAAGGTCCTCATCTCGCCGTGGGGTGGCACTGTTCTAGGACCCGAGCGTTAGAGTGGATTCAGCGTTGAGCTGCTAACCAGAAGGTTGGCAGTTCAAATCCCCCAGCGGTTCTATGGGAGATGAGATGAGGCAGTCTGTTTCCATGATGATTGCTTGGCTGGGAGACTTTCTGGGGTAGTTCTCTGGCCGAGACGGACGAGCATGGGCAGTTGGAATAGAATGGAGGAGGTGGGGTCTGAGGCACGAGCTCCCGAAGGCCCCTGTGCAGCTGGAGTGTGTGTGGGGGGGTGTCCCAGGAGGAAGCCAGGACGGGTGCTGCGTCTGCCCTGCGTGTAGGTTACACCTTCCAGAGCAACGTCTTGGCCAGGTTGATCTGGCTTTGTGGGGGCATCTGAAGCAGCCTGTTTAGGGTCTGCCTTTATTGTATATCTACATGTTTATGGTTGATTTATTTGTTGGTTTAGGGGAGAGGATGCGGTCATGTGTAATTGAAAGAATTCTGAGGCCTGATCTCTGTCCCTCCTTAGTAGTTCTGGTCAATCCACTCATTTGCCCTCATGCTCCGTTCTGCTTCCTAAGAAATGAAGAACTTTCCCTAGATAATTTCTAAGATTTTCCCGCTCCCCACATTCTGCTCTACTTGCTGATGACCAAGAGCTGTCCGTTGTGAAAAGACGCGTTGTTAGAATGTCTCGTTCTCGGGGAGCTCTGGTGGCCTAGTGGCAAGAAGCTGTACTGCAATCCCAAAGTTACACGGTTCGAATCCACCAGATGCTCTGTTGGAGAAGGAGGGACAATTTCCTCCTGTACCAGTCAGATCTGATTTGACGGTACATGCACAAAAAAAAAAAAAAAAAAAAAGAATGTCTCGTTCTGGTCACGCAGGCCAGGATCCAGGCAGAGGAACTGTGGGTTCTCAAACAGGATCCTGGAAGGTTCATTCGCCCCAAGGATGCAAGGCAGTCTTTGAATGAGAAGAAGGTTCTAGAAAGGCTCCAAGATCTAGATCTGTCTGGAACACGCATCCCCATCCTGTCTCTTTCAGATATGATTGGTCAGAGGAGCCGAAGCAGCAAGTGCCCCATGGAAGCCAAGGTGTCCAGCGGGAGGGAGACCCTCCGCCTTCGTTCTGGGCATGCCGCCACAGTGGAGGAGGTGGTGAGTGGAGGGAGGGGTCCTTCGGGGACTCTTGAACCTAGCACTTTGCTGGTGAGAAACACACACCCCATCGCTAAGCCGGTTTCTCTGCCTGCAGACTGGTCTTTCTTGTACAGGAGGAAAGTCACGTGAATCAGAAGCGTTGGCTGCTGGACGTATCCAGCCTCCCCTGATAGAAAGAGTTGGGGGTGTCAGGGAGAACTCTGGGCTGGAGGGTCAGGGACTTGTGACCACGGTGTTGTCCTCCTGCTCCCCAGCCCAGTGAATTTGAGGAAGAGGCCTCTCGGAAGGTGGACGACCTGCTGGAGAGCTACATGGGGATCCGGGATCCTGAGCTGGGTAAGGGGCCAGGGTAAGCTGGGTGGACCCTCGGGGGAGGGCAGCCTGCAGGGAGGAGGCTGGGATTCCGGTGGGAAGTTGCGGCCTGGAGGTGCCCTCACCCCTTCCCCTCCCACTCTGCCTGCAGCATCCACCATGGTGGAGACGTCCAAGCGGACAGCGAGCGCCCAGGAGTTTGCTCGTCATTTAGACTCCGTCTTGGGAGAATTCGCCTTCCCGGACGAGTTTGTGGTGGAGGTGTGGGCCGCCATCGGCGAGGCCCGGGAGGCCTGTGGCTAGCCTGTCCCAGGGGTGAACAAAGCCCCAGCCCGGAGCCCAGCCCCCTGCCCCAGCCCTCCCGGTCAGCTCCTGAAGCCCAGCCCTGCTCCAGAGCCCAGCCCAGTTCCGAGACCAAGAGCATCTCTAGAAACCAGTCCAGTTCTGAAACCCAGCCCAGCTTCAGAGGCCAGCCTGCCTTCAAAACTCAGTCCTCAGCCCGAACACAGGGCAGCTCTGAGGCTACCAGCCCTAGGTCTCCAGTCAGCTCCGAGAGGAAGCCCAGATCTGAGGCCAGGCCCTGTGCTAGAGCCCGGGCCAGCTCTGAGGCCACACCAAGCCCTGAGGCCAGGCCCTGTGCTAGAGCCCAGGCCAGCTCTGAGACCACATCTAGCTTCAGAACCCAGGCCGGTTCTGAGAACAGGTCTTACTCTAGAGGCCAGGTCAGCCCTGAGCGCAAGCCCATCTCCAGAGCCCCGACGAGCGCTGACGTCAAGTCAAGTTTTGGCACCGAGACAAGCTTCAAGACCCAGAGCAGTTCTGAGACCAATCCAAACGATGAAATTCCGCTCAGCTCGAAGAACAAGTCTTGCCATAAAACACGACCCAGTTCTGGGACTCAGGACAGCACTTTGTCACCACTGAACCTGGACACCAGCTCAGGGACATCAGCGAGCTCTGGAGTCCAGGTGCGATTTAAGAAGTCCGGCTCCAGGGGCAGCTCCCAAAGACAAGGCTGCTCGCGGGCCCAGGCCAGCTCAGGCGCCCAGATCAGCTCTGCAGCCCAGTCCAGACCCCAGCCCTGCTCAGGCGCTCACCCCCGTCCTGGGGGCCGGCACAGCTCCAGCTCCGGTGGCGAGTCCAGCTCCGAGACTGACCCCAGCTCGAGACCCCAAGCTGGTGCCACAGCGAGGCCCAGCTCCAGAATTCAGACCAGCTCTGGAAGCCCCCCCATGTCTGACACAAGACCGGGCCCCAACACCAAGTCCCATTCTCACGGCAAAGCCCCATCCAGCCCCAGAAAGCAGTCCAGCTCAGCAACCCAGGCTGACCTCAGTGCCTGGCCTCGCTCGGGAAGTCTGTCCAGCCCCGGGATACAGACGAGCTCGGAGCCCTCAGCTCACTCCAAACCCCAGTCAAGCCCTGAGATGCAGCCAAGTGCCAGCATCCAGCCCAGCCCCAGAATGCAGTCCAGTCTTGGAACTCAGACCTCTATGGGGACCGAGCACAGCTCCTCAACCTGGTCCAGGTTGGAGAGCAGACCTGGCTCCAGGGTCCAGCCCCACTCAGGAGGGCAACCAGCCTCCGGGGCTCAGGTCATCTCCAGAACCCTGCCAAGTTCTAGCCGTCAGCTCCCGGCCACAGCGCAGACCCACCCAGGTCCTCAACTGGACTCTGGAGCCCAGGCCGGCTTCGGAACTCCACTCAGCTCGGAGACACAGCCCCACTCTGGGACCCAGACAACATCAAGAATTCAACCCAGTTCTAGAATTCCACTTAGCGCAGAAACCCAGGCCAGCTCTGGGGTTCAGCTCGGCACCAGAAGCCAGCCCAGCCCCAGAGTACAGTTCAGTTCTAGGATTCTGTTCAGTTCTGAGACCCTGCCCCGCTCTTGGACACAGCGTCACTCTGAGGTCCAGCCCAGTTCTGAGACGCAGCTCGGCACTAAGGCCCATTCTAGTGCCAGAACCGAGCCCAGCTCTGGGGTCCAGCCCAGTTCTGAGACGCAGCTCGGCACTAAGGCCCATTCTAGAGCCAGAACCGAGCCCAGCTCTGGGGTCCAGCCCAGTTCTGAGATGCAGCTCGGCACTAAGGCCCATTCTAGTGCCAGAACCGAGCCCAGCTCTGG